TAAAGTGATGGCCATCAAAAATACCACTTAATTAGATATAAAATCTTTACAAATCCAAAATGCCCTGCAGTTTTTGAGACATGGCTTTTCTCCAAAATCAGCAATCCCTAGTTTTTGGGGACAGGCTAGACCACACTGTATTGTACATTCATTTTTGTGAGCTTGGAACCATTTGTCCTCCTCAAGTGCTGCCTTTAAGATCTCTTCTATCTGTTCACCTATTTGGAATTTCACCTTTGCCTGTGCTCAAATGGTTACAAGCTGGTGGAATGGGATGAAGAGTCTAACTACCTCCAGCTTGGATATGTTGTATTGAGGCATTCTGGATAGTGCATCCAATCAAAAATTCTTTCCCCTGAAAGGTATCAGAGGATGGAGTTGAATCAATTAAAATACTGAGTTCATCAGACTTGCTTGTTTTCAGGGCTTCTAAATTTTTATGGTCAGTCCAGACCTCAAATGTTATTTTGCTCCCTTACAGGAAGTGCCTCCAAGCTAGGAGTGCCCAGCGCTCTGTGTAAGCCTTTTTTTCCCAAACTGCCCACTGACACTCTGTGCCAATGTGTTTTTGGATGTGTATGCACATAGGACACCCTGATTGTTTCTTTGTAAGAAAACTGCCCCCACAGCCACATCACTAGCATCCGCCTGAATGATAAATGAGGCATTAGGGTCAGGCTGTTTTAGCACTGGCTCAGCTGCAAATAGATGTTTGAATTTCCTGTACTCTTCTTGGCTTTCCTTTCAGTGGCTGGCTGGGTTTGGGCTTCCCCTCTCCTTTTGTTTTTAACAGGTTGGTGATAGGGAGAGCAATTTGGGCAAATAATGAGATAAAATGGTGGTAAAGGTTCACAAAGCCATTGCAGTTGCTTCTTGGTGCAGGGTGGAGCCCACTGTAGCACAGCCCTGATCTTCTCGAGATCCATCTCTACCCCCTCATGGAAGATGCAGTATGCAAGGTAGTAGATTTTACTCTGGTGGAACTCGCTTAGCATATAGCTGTGCAGCCCAAAGTTTTTTAAGTACCACCCTAAGCAATTTCACATGTTCTGACATAATGTCTATGGAGATTCTCAGTCATTCAGGTCATGGTTTCCCAAAGGTGCTTTTTCAAGAGGCAACTGGACTTTCTGGTTTTTTCTTTGAAGATGTTTCACTTCTTACCTAAGAAGCTTCTTCAGCTCTGCTTCAGCTTCTTGGATAAGAAGCAAAACATCTTCAAAGAAAAAACCAGAAAGTCCAATTGCCTCTTGAAAAAGCACGTTTGGGACATATTCTGTCATAGTTTCAATATAGACCAGTATGTTACCCAGATACCAAAACCCCTTTATACAAATGCTCACGCAGTACCTCATTTATTAGCTGCATAAAGACAGGGGGATGTAGTCCAAAAGGGTGAACTGAAAGCCCCCCAAAGTGCAATTAAAAGTGGTTTCCCACTAATTCTCCTCTTTAATTTGAACTCGGTATTAGGCTTCCTGCAAATCCAGTTTAGTAAAGATCTTCCCTTTTGCCAGATGGGCTGCTAACATGTCCTTTATTAAGAGCACATGCACCACTCTATAGTCCACACATAAATAAAGGGACCTGTCCTTTCAGACAGGACCAGGGCAGCAACCCTGGGTCGAGCCAGCTAGATGAACCCACATTTCAAATATTTGTCTATAAAGGACTGCAATTCCTCCAGTTCTCTAGAAGTCATTGAGTAAAGTTTGGGCTTAGGCAGTTTAGCCCCTGGCAGGATTTCTATGGAACAGTCAGTTGGCCGATGGGTTAAACAATATAATTGTTAAACATACACACAATATTTCCTGTTTGTATGATAACTGTGATCTGACTTAAGAATGGATTACAACCCACCATATTTTTGGAGTATAAGATGCACCAGAGTATAAGACGCACCAAGATTTTGAAGAGGCAAATTAAAAAAAAAGTTTTTGCACTCTGCAGACCTCCCAAAACCGGCCTGTTTTTCACAAAAATGGGCCAATTTTTTTTTTAAAAGGGCATGAATAGTCTGTAGGAGGCTTGTAGAGTGCTCCTGGGTGGGTGGAGGGGGGCACAAAAACAAGCAAAAAAGGCCTGTTTTTTGGTCATTTCTGCCCTCCCCAGCCTCCAGGAGCACTCTATAAGCCTTCTAAAGGCTCTGCACGGCCATTTTGATGAAGGAGGCAGAGTTTTGGGAAACAAAAAAATGCTGTATTCAGTGTATAAGACGCACCCAGATTTTCAGCCTCTTTTTTGAGGGAAAAAGGTGTGTCTTATAATCCAAAAAATATGGTATATTTCAGTGTAATCTAAAAAAACAGAAGAATTTCAGTCCCCAAATTATAGTAGTTCTAATTTTAAAAGTCAAGATGTTCAATTTCTAATTAATCAGAATTATAATTAATTGGAATTAAAGGATCATTGTATTAGTTCATCAACTTTCCAAATGTATGCTCCTAGTTATTTAGTTAAACCAATGGTAACTAAAACAATATTCTCATGTTTCAGAAGATTGTGGTCAAAATACATAACCAAAGAATCAGTGTATATTAACTTTTCCAAGTGTCATCACAGTTACTACTGAGAGCAGATGTAATTATATTTGGATAAAATGGACATATATGTTATTTATATAAATTTTTAATGTTTAGGGCAAAAATACAGCTGTTTTTCCTGTCTTCTGAAACATCTTACCCCCACAACATTAGGTTGCCCCCAACCCTCCTATCTTTTTGTAAGGGCTGAAAGACATGGCTGTGACGGTTGGTTTGGCACTCCAATGGGGGATCCATGTAATGGAAATGGTTGATTGAGTAATAACAGACCTCCCCTCCCCCCCACTCCATCCCCCCCCCATCCCATGTGTTTTTGGTTTTAATCTTTTTTTGTAATTGTAAGCCACCTAGAGTTACCTTATGGTAAGATGGGCAGTCAATAAATAAAGAAATAAATAATTTGAAGCTGTTATTAACGTTTCAATAATATTTGTTGAATATATAATAATAGAAACATTAAATTTGGTCAAGAACACATTCAATTCAGCATGAGGAAAAAGCAAAAGCAGCTGGGCTCCAGCCATAACATACAGTAATGACTTAATCAAAGAAAAAAAATGCATGAATCTATTCTTCATTGTTTCTAAAGTTTTTCTTTAGAAACTTTAGAGAACAACCAGTGTTCTTCTAGATCTTGAGAACAAGGTGATTGCAATGATTTGCTTTGTTTCAGTGTCATGTGGTCTGCTTTGCTTTTGTTATGTTATTTTGGCTCTTCTGCTCATTTGCATTCTTTCTATGGTAGGTTTTTTTAAAAGATTGCAAATCACCTAGAGTCATTTAGTCAGGTAGTCTGTACTTTATTTTTTTTAATAAAGAAAACATTACTTGCTCTACCAGGATAAAACTACCATCCAAGAGATAAAATGTCACAATACAAGTTGTCAGGGACGTATGATTGAAAAGTGACTTAGTTTAATGATTCTTTTTCTAGAGTGCTACTTGGGAAAATCAGTAAAAGTAAATGCCATCTGCAGAAATTGACTGGTTTCTTTTTATAGAACTGCAGAATATAAAATAAACCTTAACATTCTTTTTTTTATTTTTTGACTATTTTTCTTCTAGTATATCTATCATGTTCTTTGTTAACAAGCCCTGCATTCATTTTGTCTTCCCAGATTTGAGACAAATAAAAAAAGCCGAGGTGGTGCAGTGGTTAGGGTGCAGTACTGCAGGCCACTTCAGCTGACTGTTATCTGCAGTTCAGCGGTTCTAATCTCACCGGCT